AAAACTCAAATTGATGCACATTGCTCCAAAACTAGCCAATAATTATGTAAACTCATTAATATATGATCAATTACTCATTACAATCCAATTTATAATAATTCCTAACCCCGATCAAAAGTTGAAAAAATTGCCCTCGGGCCCACGTGCCCGGATTTCAAAATTTTTCGAAGATAAAGTCTACCCATAACCTCACGAACTCAAATATATAATTTACTCCCAATTTCGTGCCCAAATCGTGGTCAAAATCCAAGAATACCAAATTTCTAGATTTTTCTTCAAAACCCCAATTTTCACTAATTTCCCATGATTTTCCATGTTAAAATCTAGATATAATCCAAGTAATTAACTTGCAATAGCTGGTAATCACTTACCATGACATGGATGATGAAAATGAAGCTCCAAAATCGCTCCTAGGTCGGCTCCCATGGAGGAAATGAGATGAAATGAGCCAAACCCATTTCTTTACATTTATACACTGCCCATACGACTTATCTTCACGTTCGCGAGACCCCTGTCGCGTTCGGGAAGAAGAAAATTCCCAAAAACCATTTTTCAAACTCTTCTCAGACAGCCTCTAGTGTAATGGCCATAACATTTCATACAAAACTCCAAATGACAAATGGTTTAATATTTTGAAAACTAGACACCAAGATATACAACTTTCATGTTTTGTTCATCTCCCAATTCCTCATAGATTTTGAGATATAAGCATCCAAAGTCAGCCCTATGCAACTCAAATTTCTTATCCATCTTCCCGGACAGCCTGTAGTGTACCAGACATAACTTTTTTTACACAAATCCAAATGCTAAATAATTTTTACACAAGTTGTAGACACAAAGGGCTACAACTTTTATTTTTGGATCATCTCCGAACTCTTTATAGATTGCGAGATATGAGCCTCCGAAGTCAGACCTGTGCAACAGAGATTTCGTTCTTCGCAAACGCGAGGATCCCTTCTCGAACGCGAAGAACAAAGTCCCTGAAGCCAAATCCTTCTTCGGGAACGCGAGAGGATCCTCGCAAACGCGAAGAACAACACCAGATACCAGCATCAGCTATTGCAAAGCAGCCCGAAATGATCCGAAACCACCCCGAAACACACCGGAGGCCCCCGGGACCCCATCCAATCACACCAACCAGTCCATAACATAACACGGACCTGCTTGAGGCCTCAAATCACATCAAACAATGCTAAAACCATGAATCGCACTCCAATTCAAGGTTAATGAACTTTAGAATTTCAAACTTCTACATTTGATGCTGAAACCTATCAAACCACGTCCGATTGACCTCAAATTTTGCACACAAGTCATATTCGACATTACGGACCTACTCCAACTTCCGAAATCGGAATCCGACCCCGATATCAAAAAGTTCACTTCCGGTCAAACTCCTCAAAAACCTTCAAATTTCTATCTTTAGCCAAATGACTCCAAAATGACCCACGGACCTCCGAATTCACTTTCGATCGTGCTCCCAGCACCAGAATCACCATACGGAGCTATTCCCAGACTCGGAATCCCAAACGGACATCGATAACACTGAAATGCACTTCAACCCAAACTTATGAAATTCTTTCAAAAATGCCAACTTCCACAATAGGTGCTGAAACATTCCCGGGTCTTCCAAAACCCGATACGGGCATATGCCCGAGTTCGAAATCATCATACGAACCTGTTGGAACCTTCGAATCCCGATTCTGAGGTCGTTTACTCAAAAATCTAATCTTAGTCAATTCTTCCAACTTAAAGCTTTCGAAACGGGAATTCTCTTTCCAAATCAACTCCGAACTTAACGGAATTCAATTCCGACCATGCGTACAAGTCACAATACCTAAAGTGAAGCTACTCAGGGCCTCAAACTGCTGAACAACGCACTAGAGCTCAAAATGACCGGTGGGGTCATTACATTAAGTGGTCTGACCTTTGTTTTTTTGTTGTAATAGCGTTCTGTCTGTTGTTTTTAGGCAATCATCCTTATGTAGGACATATCCCTTCATTCTTTGGCTTCGTCGAGCTCTTTTCTTCTGCTTTCGTCGTTCCTCAGTCCGCTCTCGTAGAAGTATCTCAGAATGGGCTCTCTGACTTCAACCGGTATTACAACATCATTCCCATAGACTAATGAGTAAGGTGTCTCTCCTATGCTCGTCTTTGGCGTTGTTCGGTAGGACCAAAGTACTTCTGGTAGTAATTTCGGCCATAGTCCCTTGGCATCTTCGGGTTTTTCTTCATGATATTCAGTATATTTGTTGGAGGACTCCGCTTGCCCGGTTCTCACGAGGTGATACGGTGTTGAGAGTATTCTTTTGATGTGCCACTTCTCAAAAAATTCAGTGACCTTTTTTCATATAAAATGGGGTCCGTTGTCGCAACTGATTTATTTAGGGAGGCCGAAACGGCACACGATGTTTTCCATATAAAGGCGATCATTTCTGTTCGTGTATTTAGGCGAATGATCCTGCTTTTACCCATTTAGAAATATAGTCAGTTAAAACCAAAAGAAATCGTACGTTACCTCGCCCCGCGGGGAGGGGGCCAACGATGTCCATTCCCCACTTTGATGAACGGCCAAGGGAAAGTGACTGAGTAGAGGTGCTCGCCTGCTTGGTGGATCATTGGGGCATACTTTTGGCACTGCTCGCACTTTTTACGAAGTTTGCGGCCTCTTATTTCCTGGTGGGCCAGTAGTAACCTGCCCGTATGTGGCATCTGACCGGAGCCCGATTGTCGGAATGAGCTCCGCAATGGCCGTTGTGGACTTCTTCAAGGACGCGCCGCATTTGATTTGGGCCTAAGCATTTTGCTAGGGGCCCACCATACGTTCTTTTGTATAGGTTATGAATGATGCTGCACCTGGCTTCTTTTTTCTCATCTGGGAGTACGCCATCCTGCAAATATGTAACAATGCATTTGCGCCAGTCCCAAGTTAGGTTTATGGTTCTTACCTCGATTTGATCTATCGACGAGTGGAGGAGGTGGATCATGTTTCTTTCTCCGGTTGTAATGTTTTTGGTGGCCGCTGCTAGTTTGGCGAGGCCGTCCGCCTCGGCGTTTTGTGCTCGGGGGTCTGGTCGAGCTGACATTCGTCAAACTTGGGCAGCAGCTTACAGATCTCGATCTGGTATTTTTGCAACCTTTGCTCTTTGATCTGGAAAGTCCCTGTGACGTGGTTGACAACGAGTTGAGAATCGTAGAGTAGTCTTACCCATCTCGCCCCATATTTGAGTGCTAGCCTTAACCCTCCAATTATAGCCTCATACTCGGCCTCGTTGTTAGTCATGTCCGGGCACCTTATGGACTGGTGAATCATTTCGCCGGTCGAAACTTCGAGTACGAGTCCCACTCCGGACCCTGACGCGTTAGAAGAACCGTCGGTGTACAAAACCCAGAGGTCCTGTGTTTGGGGAGAAGTGTGGGCAGCTTCTTTTTCGACTTCAGGCATTATTTTGGCGCTGAAGTCAGCGACGAAGTCAGCAAGGACTTGTGACTTTATCGTTGTTCGCAGTTGATATGTGATATCATGCTCGCTTAATTATATGGCCCATTTGTCCAACCTACCGGATAGCTCGGATTTATGCAAAATACTTCTTAAGGGAAAAGTCGTGACTACCGAGACGGGCTGACATTGGAAGTAGGGTCTAAGCTTTCGCGAAGCTACGACCAAGGCCAGGGCCAATTTTTCGAGGCGATAAATACCTCGTCTCGGCATCGACTAGTGTTTTGCTAATGTAATAGATGGGAGACTGCATACCTTTATTTTCTTAGACCAGGACTACACTCACGGCTACTTCGGATATCGCGAGTTAGATAAGGAGGCGCTCCCCTAGTTCTGGTTTTGAAAGCAATGGTGGTGACGACAAGTAAGCCTTCAACTCCTTTAGGACTTGGGCGCACACAAAGGTCCATTGGAGGTCGTTATCCTTTTTAAGTACGCCGAAGAATTTGTGGCACCTATCAGATGATCGTGAAATGAATCTTGAAAGGTTGGCAACACGGCCAGTCAACATCTGAACTTGTTTTTTGGTGGTCAGGTGCTCTAGTATCCCTTCAATGGCTTTGATTTGGTCGTGGTTGACCTCGATACCTCGCTGTGACACTAGGAAATCAAAGAATTTTCCTGAAGCCACACCGAATGCACACTTTTCGGGGTTTAGTTTCATTCCGTATTACTTGAGTGTGTCGAAGGTTTCTCTCAAGTGATTGATGTGGTCTTCTTTCCTTTTGGATTTGACCAACATGTCATCTATGTAGACTTCCATCGTCTTGCCGAGTTGGTCCTTGAATATTTTTGTTACTAACTTTTGGTACGTTGCTCCTGCGTTTTTTCAGTCCGAAAGGCATAACTCTGTAGAAGTACGTCCCCTGATGGGTGATGAAAGTGGTTTTTTCCTGATCCTACTCTTCCATGAGGATCTGATTATATCTTGAGTAGGCATCCAAAAAACACAGCAATTCGTGCCCGGCCGTTGCGTCGATGAGTTGGTTGATATAAGGTAATCAAATGAATCTTTGGGGCATGCTCTATTTAAATCTGTGAAGTCTACACACATTCGCCACTTCCCATTTTTCTTTTTCACCATGACCACGCTGGCGACCCATTGGGGTATTTTGACTCCCTGACGGAGCTATTTTCCAATAATTTATCGACCTCCTCGCATACTGTACATTTATCACGGAGTTAAACTTATGCCTAACCTGCCTCACCGAGGGGGGGAGGGGTGGAATGGGTTGACGTTCAACTTTTGCGTGGCGATTTCTTTCGGGTTACCTAGCATATCTACATGGCTAAAAGTAAATAAGTCCGCGTTAGTAGTTAAGAATTGACAGAATTTACCTGGTTCTTGAAGCTTGCAGCCGATGTAAGCTTTTTTATTGTGGTCGTTTCCATCTAATTGAACGGGGTTGAGGTCTTCTATGGTCGATTCTGTTGCTTCTACCGTATCAGGGTCTCTGATGACGTCCTCTCTCTCATCACAGATCGACCTCGGCCCTATTGATTGCTATGCCTCTTTTGCTTTGCCTTTCATTTGTTGAGTGATCGTACAATCAAGGGTGATGCGGTAACATTGCCGTGATGTGCATTGTTTTACTCGTATACTGAATATTCCCACATGGAGCTGGAAATTTGATGACTTGGTGCAAGCCGGGGGGATGGCTCTCATGACGTGTATCCATGGTCGCCCTATTATGGCATTGTATGCTGTGTCCTGGTCCATGATATGGAATGTAGTTTCCAAAGTGACGCCGCTAGCCAGGACGGGGAGTGTGATTTCTCTAGATGTTCGCTCAACTGCATTGTTAAAACCTGTTATTGTGATGCAACGCGGCACTATCTTATCCTCAAGTTTCATTTGTGCAAGTACTCGAGGGTGGATAATGCACGCGCCGCTCCTGTCGTCTACCATAATGCGTCTCACATCTGTATCTATAATTCATAAAGTGATAACAAGGGCATCATAGTAAGGGAAAACCAAACCGTGGGTATCTGACTTGTCGAAGATGATACTTTCTTCGAGTTCGTCATACTGTTCGTGAGTGATCGACCGTTTGAACTTATGGGTTGTGGTAAACTTCACGTTGTTGATAGAAGTGTCACCACCGCCGCCGATAATCATTTTAATGGTGCGGGTTGGTGAGGGCGGTTTCGACGGTCCCTGATGTTGTTCGCATCCTCTAGCAAAGTTTTTCCTTCCCCGGTCGCTCAGCAATTCTTTGAGGTGTCCTTGTCGAAGCATGTTTACGACCTCTTTTCTTAGGGCGATGCAATCCTCGATTTTGTGTTCTCGTTCTTGGTGGAACTCGCAAAGGGCATCTGGCTTTCTGGTGCTCGGATCCGACCTCATCTTTTGTGGCCACTTTACCTTCGGTCCGAGCTCCTCTAATGCGTAAACTATTTCTGAAGGTGAAACACAAAAATTATGAGCAGATAACAAGAGGACATACCTCTCACATTTCGGTGAGTCCCTGTCCTTGGTCTGGGTGGGACCTCTTCGTGGCGGGAGGGGGTGCAATGGTGCTTTTGACATATGGTGATGTCGTTCCTGGTTGGGTCATGGTGCTACGAGGTCCCTCCTGATATCATTTCTTCGATCTTTCCTGGATTGGGCTTGTACCAAGGTCATTCAGTGAGTCGGTCCATTGAGTTCGTCCTCGTCTGCTCTAACCTCAGCACAATAGGCGTTGTGTATTTCATCCCAAGTAGTTGGAGGATACTTCATAAGCCGACTTAACAACTTTATTTACGCCCTTGAACCATTTCTGCTTAGACCGTTCTTGGAAGCTGCGACGGCCATTCCTTCCGATACATTTGGTAAGGTCATTCTTACTTGGCTGAATCGGGCGAGGAAGTCCCTCAATCCTTCTCCTGGTGACTGCTTTATAGCGAATATATCGTTCACTCTTGCCTCTGCCTTTTTGGCCCCGGCGTAGGCCGTTACGAACTTGTCGGTCATCTCTTCGTATGTTTCAATGTAACGTGCGGGCAGCTGTGAATACCATGTCAATGCCCCTCCAGTAAGGGTCTCGCCAAATTTTTTCAACAAAATGGTGGACACTTGTTCCTTGGCGAGGTCATTGCCTTTCACGGCAGTGACGTAGTGACTTAGATGGTCCGCGTACTTGATAAGCATGAGGAAGAGTTTTTATGCGTACGGAGAAAGCTGAGCCGGGCACACTTTGTAGAAGCGGCAGAAGTCTACCACCAGAGAGGGAAGGGGAAGCGTGTATCCGATAACAGAAGGGTACGCGTAAAAGGCGCAGTACCCCGGGCGGTGCAAATATACGATGTCCTTCCCCGCTGCCGGTACCATTTCGATATGAAGTGGGATTCCCCACTTGGACTTAAGCGTCATAATCGCCACTTCATCCATGGTGGAAGGGACATGCTACGGTTCGTTTCCGACAGGACTGTTGAAGTCAGTACTTAACTTCCCCGTACGGGGTACTATCTCATCCACCGTCGAAATCCCTCATCTTCCACGACCTCCACTTCCTCTTCAAGGAGAGGTACGTCATTTTCCGGCACTAGAGCTTCAACCAATCTACCAGTCTGGAAGAAGTACCAGCCATTTGTCTGTCTAGATCGAAATAAACAAGAACAGTGAAGGAAAAGAGAGAAAGGTCACGTCGAATTCTAACGCAAGCAGAAGTGTGAAATACTGAAGAAGGTGGAAGTTTGTAAATTCTCAGGTAAATTGAAAAGCGTAACAATCAAATAAGGGATTCCCCCTATTTATAGGAACACAAATGTCTCGAGCGAGAAACCAGAAAGCTGATAACTAAAAAGAAAAACTAAAAAGGCACGGGAAACGATACGGTGCCTGGGAAACGTGCGCCATAATGATGCATGACAGGTATTCATGGCATCCTGAACCGACGTAACGATCCATCTCTGAACTGACGTAACGGTGCGGTAAAGTCCTTGAAGCATCGCGTCACCACCTCGCCATGAGGACTTCGTCCCTCGCATGATGTCCAGAATTCTCTTAACTCTTGAATCAACAGGATCCGCCCGTTGAGCTCGCCAAAAGGCAACCCGAACGGGCGGAGGGACTAACTGTATGGGTTAAAATCTGACCATCAGATGGTTATCATTAAAGGGAATAATAAGAGGTCAATCGAGCCATGGTCGTTCCCACGAGGCGTAATGGCGATGAGTTTCTCGGCTACTGCCGAGGTCAGGCCATCAGAAGGCAAACACGGCATAACGTAATACTGGGGCGAGTGAGAAAAGTACATCCATGAGAAGGCACGCTGGTCAAGAACCGTTGGGTAAAAGGGGAAATTAACAATATATATATAAGGGAGGCAAAGCAGAAGGAAAGGGGAGAGAAAAAAAAGGGAAAACAGAAGACACGAGAGAGACCTCCAAGGGAAGAAGGAAGAAGTCTATATTCTAGGTTACAAACCTTTGTAATCTCCATTGTCGAATCAATAAAGCTAGATCTCATAGCCATCAACAGGATTCATCCCTTTATCTTCTTTGTTTTTACAAGCATGGAACATTATATTGAAGTTGTAAGCTTATTATTTACTTTTAACGTCTTTCATTCATTCTAAGATATGTGTATGAACTCGATCTCTTTGAGTCTAATGCCCATTGTGCTTAGATCTAAAGTTGATTATATTTGGCCAAGATTTACCCTCTACCTTATCATTAATTGGTTTAATCAAAAGGCTTAATACTTTTTGATCAAACAATTTGGCGCCGTCTGTGGGGATTTCTTAGTCAAATTCATTAGTTTCCTTTAGATCTAGAACCAGCCAAGTATTACTTTCGGGCTGTCACAACCTCACCATCTCGGTGACGACGCCAACCTAAAAAGAATGGTAGATAAGTTCTTGTAATAATCGTATCAATCTAGGTCATATCTTTACACAAAATAAAAATCATGACCGATGTCTATACAAAACCTATTCCCCGCCCGTAATGGTAGGCTTAGCGAGTCATGTGCACGATTTAAGTAGAACCACAGTCACTATGTGCTTGGCATAACCGCGATCCATGTATATCGACCTGTACTTCCACCCTCGAGGAAGGGATGATAACCTACCGCATGACCCCTTGAAAGACCAGGCATATCCCGCATTAATTTCATATCACGGATGCTGGATGATTTATAAACATAGCATGACATGTTTCCCTTATTGTTTAGGCTTATCGGACTGGGACTCGGCCCCGATATCCCAACGAGTGAGGTAAGCCCAACACACAAGGAGTCTAGACGCAGTTAGACGGTGAAGCTAAATGTGGCTGCCAAATCAGAAACCACTAGTCGTATACTAGGCGGAGAGTCACCCTACAACGCCGCTCCTCCCTTCACCGGCTTGCTAGGCAGAGGTAACAGACAATTTCATTTTGGTTTTTCACTCTTTTTGGTTCAAAACAGGAACACGAGCACTTGCATAGGTACGCGAACAAGGGACAAACGCCGCTAAAACACCCGAGAAAATGGTTCCGTAGCATGCCATCTCGCAAGTAATGAACGAGCAAAATCCCCTAAGCCACAACATATCACAAATAACAGAAATGGCTCGGTACAGATCGACTATCAAAAGCAATCTCCAGTAAAAGCAAATTGAGCAAATTGGGACTTGCCCATAAAACACGCGGCATTCTCCAATAAAAACAAAATTGAGCAAACTGGGACTCATCCAGGAAAACGCACAGTACTCTACAAATGAAAGCGAAATTAAGTGAACCAAGATTTGCCCCGACGCACACGTAAATAACACGACGATGAGTAATGATCTCCAAAGATGACACAACGAGTTACAATTTCGACCTTGCTCGAAACAACATCCCTACGGCCATCGGCCTTCGCCGAAAGAGAAGTTCGACCCCGCTCGAATCTACAACGGGTTACACTTTCGACCTTGCTCGAAATAACACCCCTACGGATATCGGCCTTCGCCAAAAGAGAAGTTCGGCCTCGCTCGAATCTACAACAGGTTACAATTTCGATCTTTCTCGAAATAACACCCCTATGGCCATCAGCCTTCGCCAAAGAGAATTCGACCTCGCTCGAATTTACAACGGGTTACAATTTTGACCTTTTTCGAAATAACACCCCTACGGCCATCGGCCTTCGCCAAAAGAGAATTCAACCTCACTCGAATTTACAACGGGTTACAATCTCGACCTTGCTCGAAATAACACCTCTACGGCCATCGGCCTTCGCTAAAAGAGAATTCGACCTCGCCCGAATTTACAACTGGTTATAATTTCAACCTTGCTCGAAATAACACCCATACGACCATCGGCCTTCCTCAACAGAGGAGTTCGACCTCGCTCGAATGTACAACTGGTTATAATTTCAACCTCGTTCAAATACATGTATCCGCCCGTGAATGGAGACTTCAAGTTTGACCCCGCTCGAATATACAAGTCGTAACCGACTTCGTCCAAGATGGCGAATCTAATTTCGACCTCGCCCATACACTTTTGAATTCACAATCAAAAGAGTCAGCGACTCATCACATTGAAAAAAAAAGATACACAAATGAGGGCGAAACAACTATTTTATTCAAATACACATGCGCGACAGCCGCACCTTACAAAGGGCCGAAACGGGCCCTTCGGAAAGGAAAGTAAACAACGAAAGAAAAAAAAACTTAAGTACATAGGATGCGGCAAAAGCCTCACTCCGCATCATCTCTTCCGCCGTTCTCCCTGATATCACCATCATCATCAGAAGGGAGCTCATCCTCGTTATCGATGCCCTCCCCAGCCTCCGGAGTCGCAGGGTCATATCCACAGGCAGCGCGAGCCTTGCGTGCCTTTGCCCGAGCATCTTCAAAGGTGGCCTCTGAGACACTCCCCGCCTCCCACAAACCCTTATAAACATCTCGTTGGGCCTCGACGTGGACCCACAACTCATATAGGCGGCATGGGACCGCGGCAAAGATAGACTCGACCTGGGCCAACAGTTGTTCCTTCTCGGCCTCGAGTGCCATGACTCGGTCCCCTAGGCCCAAAGCCTCCCGATCAATTTCACCAATACACTCCTCGAGCCGCGCCTCCCTAAATGTGGCCGTAGCCCTCTCAGATTCCTGTTCAGATTGGAGGATGCGGATAGTGTCCTCCAGTGTCGCCGCCCTCGCCAAAGCCGAAGTC